CTCACTTGGTAGCCCAGGCTGGCCTCGAACTCACAAAGATCCGCCTGGCTCTGCCTCCCGAGTGCTGGGATTAAAGGCGTGCGCCACCACGCCCGGCCCACATTTTTTCTTTATAACATCTCTTTATCTGATTTTAAAGATAAAACAGCACTAAAAGGATGGCTCAGTGATACCTGGCACCAAACCTGACAACCTGAAACATTCGTATGATAGAAGGAAAACACTGATCCTGCAAATCATCTTCTGACCTCCACATGAGTGCTCACCTATTCAAACCCCACCCCACCTCCACACAAATAAATACAATTTAAAATTTTTAGAATTCTAACCATTGAAAATGAAAAAAATAAAACATCATTAATTACAGATGTGTGCTGATAACATAAAATGCATAAATATGTAAGAAGCCACGCTATACAAAAGCAGAATTTTTTTAATACTAACAAGATTAAAGTAGTATTAATCCAGGTAAGACTATTATAGAGATGTTAACTGTAATCCTCAGCACAACCACTAAGACAATAACAACAACAACTTGGTAAAAGAGGAAAAAAAGAATAAAAGATTATCTGTATTGGGAAGTAATAGTAATGTAGGTAAAGAACAGTGAGTATACATGAAATTTCAACTTACACATTTTAATGTAGCTTTGACTTTTTTAATCATGTGAATACATTGGCTAATATTCAAAAACTATTTTTGTTTATTTGTTGTTTTTCTAAATGATTGAAGCCATAGACAATTTGGAAACTGAAAAAGCAAATTTTTAAGTAGGTAAATAAATGAAAACTTATCTGAGAAAGTATAGCAAATATGAACACCAAGCACAAAGCAGACAGAAAGAGAGGGAAATTCAGCACACAAACTGCAACCTTATGAGAGAGGCTCTGCTCTCAATCAAGGGAGGGGAGGAGAGGAGAGGGACGGGAGGGGAGGAGAGGGAGAGGAGCAGAGAGAAGGGGAGGGAAGAGAAGGGGAGGGGAGGGAAGAGAAGGAAAGGAGGAGGACAAGAAGGAAGAGAAGATAGAAAGGAAGAGGAAAAAGGAAGGAGAAGGAGGAGGAAGAAGAAGGAAGAAAAAGGAGTAGAAAGAAAGTTCCCTGGAGGAGATTCTGGAAGTATTAGAGAACTCCTCTACCCTTAGCCCATTTATCAAAAAGGAGAACTTCAAGAAAGGTTCCTCATTCAATGCCCAGGCTTCACCTCACCTGGACAAGTGCTTTGAGGATATGCTTGCTCTACTGACCATGGCTCTTCTCCTTGTTCCAAAAGGGAGATGACTTCAGGCTTAGCAATCTGATTCCCTACAGATGGAAGAAAGACATGTAATTTTGGTGACAAAGCTTTGGAGTTGCCAAAGAAATCTCCCCTTGCCTCTTGCTCCTATGACTGCTCACTTAAGTGGAATATGCATATCCTTTTCCCTTTGTATTTCATAAGTATTAGGAATTTTATCCCTGAATCTTAAAGTTCAAGATCATCTCAGCCCTTTAGAGACACAGCATACTACTTTCACATTATAGCTGAAGACACTGCAGAGGAAATAGCTGTATTTATTTGAGTAGTTTCTGCCTTACCCACAGAGAGTAGGTGTCCATAGGTCTCCAGCATCACGTCACGGTACAGAGTCCTCTGAACAATGTCTAGCTGCCCCCATTCTTCTTGGGTGAAGGCCACAGCCACATCCTTGAAAGTCACTGGTTCCTAAAAGAGCATATATGATCCTTCTCAGCCTGGGGCAAACATTTCCAAATGTTCTAGGGATGGAATGAGGCTGACAGCCTTTGAGGAGAAGAGACAAGATATAAAGGACTTACTAGATGTTATCAAGATTCCAACAAGATGTGGTGACTCGCTTTAATCCCCACACTCAGGAAGCAGAGGCAGGGGGATTGCTGTGAGTTCTACAGAGCAAGATCCAGGACAGGCACCAAAACTACACAGAAAAGCCCTGTCTCAAAAAACAAAAAACAAAAACAAAAAACCCTGATCTTATAAACCTCTGATCTAAGCTAGCCCTTGCTGCCTATTCTTCAATATATTGATTTTTTTTTTTTACTCCAACCAACAGAACTGCATTTATTCTACCCTCACAAGATGACTGTATTAACACAAAAACTTGATTCTGTTGCAAAGACCACCTTATCCCTCAAAACCCAACTCTTGTCTGATTCTGGTGCGGACGTCCTTATAACCTCAAAACTCAACTCCTGCAGACCCCCTGACACATTCAGCCCATGACTACTGCTGATCTATACTGATAACCTAGGGATGGTGAACATACACTGACGAATCTTCTTTTCAGCAAGCTCTCACCAAGATCCCTGCTACTTTGAGACTAATAAGCCTGAATGTGATTTCTGCCTCCACCTTTCCAACAGGAAGCACCTAAAAGTGCTGAACATACCATACCTCCTTCTCAGAAACCCTCCCCAACCTTGGTGACAAGGTTAATTTCTCTACTTTTCTTGCTGCTGATCTATCCAAATGTGTTTCCTTCAAAGATTCTGTTGTTTCTATAAATTGACAGAGAAGCATAAAAATCTAAGCACAATGAACTTTAACATAGTCATAAAACGGACAAGCTGAGAGGCCATGCTTACTACCCTAGGGCTTCCAGCCCTTGTCTGTCTCATACAACCTAACCCCTATGGAGTGCTGGTGTGGACCACATGGTGAGCATGGCTGTTTGACAAAATTCCAGCATTTCGGCATTGCAGACCACAACCCTCTAGCACCTTTTAACTTTCATTTTTAATGATTCTCATTATAATGTGTTTTGAGAGTTCCCTTATGCCTTTTCCTTTGGGAAATTTTGTGTGGGCTTTGAAGGATGAGAAAGTATACAATGGCAGTCTCCTTAAACAAAATAATTATTTGGAAAAAAAATTCCCCACCACCATGAAACCACATGGTGTGATGACTCTGTACCCAGTGCCCTCCTGATTAGACTAGGAACAGGAAAATTGGAGATTTACTAACTGGGCACACCTGACCCTGAAAGGTAAAATCAATAGCCCTCTTGAGAGTCAGCCCCCATCTGAAGGTATCTGCTGATCTATAAATGAATCTAAAAGCTAACCAGTAATTTAGGCTGACTGGAGATTAAACTCATGTGAAAATAGGGCTGGAACAATAAACCTAAATGTATCTATTCTGGACTCAGCAAAACAGGATATGGGGAGTAATGAACCCAGCTGATCAGAGAGATTGGACTCATGTGAAAACAGGACTGGGACAATAACCTGGGCTCAGCAAAACAGGACATAGGGAGTAAAAGTTTATGTCTCTATAGATACTCTGCATCCTGTCAGCTATTAGTAATTTCATGCTTAAAGTTCAGCCAGTAACTTCAAAGAACTACCTCACCCCTAAGCACCTTGTCTAATCCTGAGAAATGCAACCCACTGCATGTAAACCTTTTCTATATAAACTCATTGTAATGAGTGCTCAAGGCTTCCTCCTTCACTCACTGTAAGGGCTTGGAGTGTTGGATAAAGTCCCTGCCTGGGCTTGGCTTGAATAAAGAAACCTTTTGTTTTTGCATCGGAAGTTAGTAAGCATTGAAAAATCAGAATGGTACATTATAATGGGAAAAGAGTAAGACATCAGGACCTTCCCTTTTGGGAGTGTATGGGGAGAATAGGCCCATAGAATAACACTAAGACACAAGGGAAGGCAATTAGGGAACAACTCAGTGTTCACACTCCATCATATCCCTTGAGGGATGAAACTTGCTCTTAAATTGTAGTGAGTGGTGCCCAGAAGTCCTTTTTCCAAGGTCAGGCATTTGAATAAAGGCCTCCATTCCCTCAGTGGCTTGAGAAAAGTTCCTGCTTGCTAAAAGCAGTCATTCTTCTTATCTCTGGCAGGAAGAACTTGTGGCCCTTTCACTGATGTAAGAGGGGTCCTAGTGGAATTAGTGAACCTTTGAGAATAACAGGCATTTAGATACTTGCTGAACTTATTGCTTTTGTCTCAGGAAAAATGCTTTCATGAAGGTAAATGACCACTTTCTATCCCTGAATCATTGAGTCTGCTTTCAGTCTTGCCTATGGCTAAACTATTGAGTATAAAAGGAGTAACCTTTTTTTAATAAACACTTGGACAGTCATCCCAATTCACCCCCAGATTGTGTCTATATCCACCCTCACCCCCAACACTTGCTGACTCCACATCTTCTCTTTTGGACCTGAACCAAGCAAAGCTGGTCTCCAGCAGGGTGGAGGAGGAGTGTCTTCCAAAATAGCTTCAACATAATTAACAAAGTCAACACCCACACCCTGTAGGTTCCCACAAATTTACCTCCTACCCCTTTAAATATGTTCAAAAGTGAAGAGAAGAATATCTAATAATCAGACATAGACAAATTAAATCATTAGAGGATTTCACAAACCATGTTAATAAAACAGTGGCCATTGGTGACAACTATCAAACACCACCGAGTCACAGATGATAGAAGACTGAAAGATGTGTAACAAAGATATCAGTGTGACAACTGATTCAGATATAAACAGATCCCTGGAGCTAATTGGCCAACTAGCCTAACCTATCAGCAAGCCCCAGACAGTGAGAGAACCCATCTCAAAAATAAGTCATGTCCTACCCTTAGCAAAGCTCTACTGCTTCAGGATAGCTATTCTAACTGTTCATTAGAATATAGAGAGCTTGGGACTGGGTGAGTGCTTATTTAAATATTGTGTGATGTTTTTATGAGGTCATTACAAGGAAATAATTTTTATTTAAAAATCAACAACAAACACAAAGTTGGTGAAATGACTCAGCAAGTAAAGGTTTTTACCACTACAAGCTTGTTCCTATGACCCATGGGGTGGAGGTAAAGAACCAATTCCCAAAAGCTTTTTACACACACACACACACACACACACACACACACACACACACACACACACACACACGAGGGACTAAACAGCACTCAAGAAGTATTCTTCTTAAAAATGCCAAATGAATCTACTTCGGCCTCTACTCCAACTACCTGGGACGGAAAAGATGACACTTAACTGACATCATGAAAGCAAAATCAGGCAAAGTAAGAAGCCAGGGAAATCCAGTTTCTTCAGATAAAAACTATAAGCAACGTGAGTGCCTTGTTTTGAACCTGATTTTTTTTTTTTTTTTTTTTTTGGTTTTTCGAGACAGGGTTTCTCTGTGTAGCTTTGAGCCTTTTCCTGGAACTCACTTGGTAGCCCAGGCTGGCCTCGAACTCACAGAGATCCGCCTGGCTCTGCCTCCCAAGTGCTGGGATTAAAGGCGTGCGCCACCAACGCCCGACCTTGAACCTGATTTTTACCAACAATAAGACTATAAGTGGAGACCAGTGAGAAAAAAAAAAGTGGAATGTAAACCGAGCATAAGGTACATTTGCTGGGTGTGCTATGAGATAAAGGTACTGTTAATTATATCCTAAAACAAATACCTAGAAATACAGGTATATCATACAACTCTGAGATTTGCTTTTTAAATGTTACAGCTTAACAAAAAGGCTACGTTAGAACAAGTCGAAGGCAGAAAGTGAAAACTAGATGTTGCTGAAGGTAGATGAACATGAGTGTATATAGAAAACAGAATACGAGAAGGATGAAAAAAAAAAAGAGCAGAAGGATGATCCACATCCTAGCCCTCAAAATCTGTTACCCTAACAGCAGAAGGACTTACATATGTAACTAAGGTAAAGATGCTGAGACAAGAGTAACCTGTACTGTCTGGGTGGATCCATTGTAATCAGAAGGTCATATATGTGAAGAAGGAAGAGGTAGGAAGACCAAAATGTAATGATGGAAGCAGAAGTGGGAAAGATTTGTTTTAAGAAAGGAGAAGGGTAAAGATGCTACTTGGTGATGGAGTGCTTGCCTGACATGCACAAAGCACTAGACAAAATTCCCAGTACTGCCTTCACTGTCCAAGAAAGGAAGGACTCAAGCCAAAGAATGCAGGGGGAAAAAATCTCTCCTGGATATCCATAAAGATCACAGCCCTGCATCCTGGACACTTGGTGGTAGTGATGTCTTGTTTGGTTTGCAGAGTTTGTTTTTACTGTTTTTCAAATAGGATCTTATGTATCTCAGGTTAGCCTCAAACTCAATCTTTGAACTCAGTAGGTAACTGATGCTGGTCTTCAATTCTTGATCTTCTTGCCTCCACCTCCCCTAGTGCCAAGGTTGCAGGCTTATTTATGGTAGTACTTCCAACTATGTAGGCCCGTTGGAGACTTCTGAGTTCAAAACAAGGGAAAAAATTGCTCTAAGCACCTAAGCTTATATTAATCTGCTGCAACAACAACAGAAAGGTAATCCTCAGTTTAAGTTCTATTTTTCTACTTAAAGATCTTTTGCTGTTTTTTGTTTGTTTGTTTGTTTTAATTAGGGGGCTAAAGAAAAGGGCTGAGTGATTAACAGCACGTGCTGTACTTCCAGAGGTATCACCATTCCTAATTTCAAGCTCTACTCCAGAGCTATAGTAATAAAAAAACACATGGTATTGACATAAAAAGATACACTAATCAATAGAATTGAATCAAAGACCCAGACGTAAATCCACACACCTATAGACACCTGACTATTGATAAAGAAGCCAGAAATATACAATGGAAGAAAGAAAGCTTCTTCAACAAGAGATGCTGGTCTAACTGGATGGCATGTAAAGGAATGCAAATAGATCCATATCTATCACCCTGCACAAAATTC